GTAATTATTTGTCATTTAGCTAATGACAAAATTAATCACATCTTTGTTTTAAATATACACCTCACGCACCATTAGCAAAAACAAAAGGAAGGAGATATCATCAATTTGTTTTAAGTTTCGGCCATTACATTTTTAGTGAGAGAAAATACTTTGTGTTCTATTAATATCATTTTGTGTATAGAAAATATCTATAATATTTTCTAAATATTATTAGAAATATTTTCTATAAGAAATATACAAGATTATTATTATCCCAATTTTAATCTTTATATTTTATAGTATTATAATCTTTACTAGCATAAAGATTGTGGTAGACTCTGGCGTTGTTCGTGTGTCAAAGTTGGAGACCGGACGCTTGAACGGTTATGTTTGCAGTTTCAACGCTCTTCCTACGACTTCTTCGTTTTTACCGCTTACGGAGAAAGGTATAAATTTCTTACTCACTATAAGTTTTAGTACGTGATTCTGGGCAAGACCTCCTCTGATCACCTTAGCAAGACCTCCTCTGATCACAAGGCCCTACTTTTGGAGTGCATTAACTCTACTTATAAAGGACCCAAACCATTCAGATTCATTAATGCTTGGACTTTGGATGATAGCTTTTATCTAATGGTCAAAAATTATTGGAACTTTATCTCTAATGATAGAGGAATGAGGGGTCTGGCCAATAAGCTCAAGGGTCTCAAATTCTGCATTAAGGAATGGAATGCTAACCATTTTGGAAATATTTTTACTAAAGTCAAGGAGGCAGAAGATGCAGATATTAAAGCACAGGAAAGGTTTGAATCATGCAACACAGATGATAATAGAGAGGCTTTTCATTTAGCAAATGCAAACCTTCTCAAGGCATGCAAAACTGAAGAAAACTACTGGGCACAAAAAGCAAACATCAAGTGGCTAGCTAGTGGTGATGCTTCTACCAATTATTTTCACTCTCTTGTTAAAGGAAAAAGAAGGCAAGCTAGCATCAGAGAACTTAAAGACCATTCAGGGAGGGTGCTGCTAGATCCAGACCTTATTGCTAATTACATTTCCAATCATTATGAAGCTACATTCTCTGAGGAGTAAACTGGGAATATGGGGGGACATCATTGCTAACATTCCAACTGTTATTAATGACCTAGATAACCAGTGTATCACTACTCTCCCTCTAGAAGAAGAAATCAAAGCATCAATATGGCAACTCAATCCCAACAGCTCTGCAGGTCTTGATGGTTACAATGGAGAATTTTTCAAATACTTTTGGGATATCATCAAGGCAGACCTTATCAGTGCCACTCATGAATACTTTCAAGGCATCCCCATTCCTATGGCTTTTGGAAATACTAATATCACTCTTATTCCCAAAGTGGAGGGAGCTAGAGAAATTGGTGACTACAGACCTATTGCTCTATCTACCTTTTTTAGTAAGATGTTGTCCAGGATTGTGGCTAACAGACTTGGCCCTTTGCTTAATAAATTAATCTCTCCTGAGCAAGCTGGTTTTCAAAAAGGGAAAGGTATTGAGGAGCATATCCTCCTAACCAATGAACTGATGCACAACCTAGACTCAAAGGTTAGGGGAGGTAATGTTATAATCAAGCTGAACATGGCCAAAGCCTTTGACAAGATCTCCTGGAACTACCTTCAGGCCATCCTTCAAGCTTTTGGGTTTAATGAACAAAGCATCTCTCTCCTTCTCCAAAATTTAAGGGCAACTTACATGTCTGTTTTGGTGAATGGGAAACCCAATGGGTTCTTTAAAATCAAGAGGGGAGTTAAGCAAGGTGATCCTCTTTCCCCTCTCTTGTTTATTATAGGATCTGAGGGTTTTGCAAGAAGCTTAAATCATGCCATCAATTCTTGATACATCTCCCATTACAAGGTGGGGAAGAATAGAGTGGTATCCCATCTTGCTTTTGCATATTATCTTATTATCTTTCTTAAGAGAGACCTTAGGAATATCCTAAGATTCAGACACCTTCTGGATAGCTATCTTAAGGCTTCAGGACATGAGGTTAATAAAAAGAAAAGCAGGATATTCTGCAAGAAAGGGAGAAGAGGCTTATATATTAGCAAGCTGGAAGATACTTTAGGGTCTAAGGTGGGAAACCCTCCTTTCAAATACTTGGGCTCTACTATCACTTGTGGTAAACTCAAAAAGACTCACTGTGATCACATTCTTCACCATTTTGATGCTTATATCAACAATTGGTATAGTAAAGAGCTTAACCCTATGAGTAGACTCATTCTTATCAAGCATGTCCTAAGTGCAATTCCTATGCATACCCTTGCTATCCAAGATCTTCCTAAATCCATTATTGGGACCATTCATGGCAAACTGGCTAACTTCTTCTGGGGGAGCAAACAAGGAAGGAACCATTACCATTGGGCCAAATGGGACACACTAACTAGACCCACTGGAGAGGGAGGTCTGGGGATCAAGAACTTGGAAGATATTCAGAAAGCCTCAGCTTTAAAACTTTGGTGGAAGTCTCTTACAGGGGATTCTCTCTAGGCCAGATTTATGAAGAACAAATATACAAGGGAAGGAACTTTTGAGGCTAAGATTTATGACTCTGCTTCTTGGAAAAGAATTTGTAGAATCTCTCCTATCGGTTTACAATTCACTACAATTACCAACCAGAATGTTAGTTGGGTCAATGGTAATTTCTTCTTCAAAGAAGCATATTGGGCTATTAGAGAGAGGGATGTCAGCACTCAAATCAACACACTGACTTGGAATAAGTTCCAAATCCCTAAAATTAAGCTTTTCACTTGGAATGCTCTTAACCAATATTTACCCTTCCCTAATATTCTCAATAGATTGTCCTATAACATGCCTAGCAAATGCCCATTTTGCTTACCTGTGATTTATCAAGGAGTATCTGGAAAGACTTTGCAGATTACTATGGTGCCAACCAGGACTAATGCGATGGATCTTAGAGAATACATGTTGGAGTGGTGGGTGTCACATAGCATGTAACGCCCCAAAATATACCCTAAAACTTATTGAACTAAATATTCAATTAATCAAATTTGTTTTAATAAATTATTGTTGGCCTTTGGGCCAAAATAAAATGTATTTTGATATCCAATATCATAATCAAGATAAATCTCATAGAGGTAAATCCAACGTGTTGACTTATTGTGTGATCTTATTTGGGAACCTGGGTACAGACCAAAGTTAAGAGTAAATAGAGAATTTGTTTCTTAAATGAACTTTGAAATGAATTCTTGAAATAAACCATGAGAATAAATTTAATGTGAGAACATTTTATGATAAAAGTCAACTAAACCAATTTTGACTTTGTCACCAAAAAGTGTAGCCTGACTGGGACTAAAATTAGTCCCAATCAGGGACGGCGCCTCCTACTCCACTCAGCCGATGGAAGATACGTTCCTACGCAAATCCTACGCAGCATTGTTTGGTTTCTTCCTCCATTCCTTCCCTATATAAGACCACCTTCACTCCCTCAATTCTCCATCATTTCTCACAATTCTCATATCAATTTTGTTGCTGGGAGTGAGGAGAACGCAGTGGTGCTATCATATTGGTGAAAGGTCGCTGGAGTTGGGAGTAATCGTCGCCGGAAGTTTCGCCGGAAAATATTCAAAACCTTCATTTACCTTCGAGGTAAGCCCGTAGATATATCTAATGACTAGAATGTTCATATAGGTCATTTTTACGTTCATAAATGGTCATTTGGTTGAGTTTTGTGTTTGACATGTTTAAAGAACCAAGAAACATAAACCTTGAATTTGATGTTAAAAATATGTTTTAGTAATTCTAATATGATGTATGAACCTTGGAGAACATCTCTATATAGTTTAATTGAAGTTCGGTGACTAAAAATGGTTTTCCCGAAAAATGGACCGAGGTTGAAGACGAATGAACAGTGGCTGAAAATCCACAGAGTGGATCGATCCCCTTCATTGGATCGATCATCTAGGAGTTTTTCTTCTAGTTGGATCGATCCAGAGGGCTGGATCGATCCTCCGAAACTCTGGTCCGGAAATTTGTCTGAAATTGCTATTTTTGAGCTCTAATATCCTACTTTTGATACCAATTGATTATGATTTGAAATTGCTATTTTTAAACGTCTTGTTGAATGATCATTGTGATGAATAATTGTTATGAATGATTATGAATGATAAACCTACTGATTAGAATGATTATTGATGACTTAATCATGATTAAAAATGGACATATTGATAATCATAATGAGAATGTATTGTTAAGGATATCTAGAACAACTTTAAGATATACCCATAATGAAATTGATGTTGAAAGGTATCTAGAAGAAATCCAAGATATACCTATTTAAGTTAGGCCTTCCGGGTATGATGCCCAGTGGCTGGGGTTAAAACGTATGTACGGGATCGAAGAACCAAACTTGAGTACCTACTCGTTTGGGGGTACCACCCAACCCAACAGTGAACACTACCATACGCTGTTGGTTTTTGGTTGACCTTAAGCGAAGGTAAGTTTAAGATTTGAAAACTCTTTTTAAAATACTCCGTATATCTTAAACTAGGCCTAGCTTAAGGATTAGGATATCTTGAACTAGAATCAGTTTAAGAATGGAATTGGCCTTAGACTAAGTATAGTTTAAGGATACTGTTTAATATTGAATATTGAATATGAAATATTGAGATATTGAAATAAAAATATTAAGAATATCATGAATGGATTATATATTGTGTGCATGATATCAAATGGTTATTTTTGAATTGAGATTCAATTTATGAGGATGCTCGACGCTTTAGATATACTTACTCAGCTTCATCGCTGAGCGTGTAGTATGTTTTATTTGCTACACGCAGGTAGGCAGAATGAATGATTGGCATGTTCCTGGCAGCAGAAGGGGCGAGACTATCGTGGTGGAATTTGTGATTTTAAAATAAATAATTGTGTTGTTATTAAACATGGTTTAAATTGCTTCCGCACTATTGTTAAACACTCCGTTTTTGCTACAGTTATGTATTAAATAATATTTATGATGAATAAAAGTATTTTGAAATGTTTTAAATTTTACGATTACCAAGTTAATACTTTAGTTCGAAAGGGGCTGCAGACCTGGACGGATTAGGGTTTTACATAGCAAAACATCTCTAAGAGGATTATTAAGGTTAGTTCTACTTGGCTGTATCATCTGGAATATTTGGAAAGCATATAACAGAAGCATCTATGAAGATACAAGGGAATCGAGGATTGGGATAACCATTGAAATCCAAAAAATGATTCAACATTGGGTATGGTCCAACAAGAAAGTACAGAAGATTGCAAGAAAAGAGGAAATTGAAGCTCTTAATCTCAAACCTTACCTCTCTAAGAACAAATGAATGCCATGGACGTTTCGCTGCAGATCAGATTAGGAAGCTGCTTCAGAAAAGAGTTAGAGGCAGTCGACTAGGCTCGTCTTTCTTGTATTTGTTCTTTCTAAGTCTATTGTTGTATCTTTTACTTTCGGGGCTTCAGTCTAGTCCTCCCCGAACGTGTTCGAATCTTGGTTAATAAATTTGGTAAGGCAGCTCGGACCTTACCCACTGATTTTGGTGGTTTTTTTTCCAGGCCTATATATATATATATATTTTAATGAAAATATTTTATTAAAAAAAAGGCAAAAGTACAAAAAAGAGGAGGGGGTGGCCCTGCCCCAACAAAGGGCCAAAAGGAAAGTTACAAAAGAAAAAACTAACACAGAGGTTAAAACCAAAAAGACAACCAAGCATAAATTCAAACACAATCCTGCAGGGATATGTCCCAAAGAAAACAATAATGCCTCCTAACTCATGTGTTCTGTCTTCCCTACATAGTTGATTCCATAGTTGAGAATACAGCTTGCTGCACACTGCTAGTTGTGAATCCAATTTCAGCAAGCGTGGGTACCTAAGGCCTTTGCAAAATAAAACCTGTAAACTTTTCTAAATGGAACCTGCCAGCTCCAAGCATCATTTAATTGCAGAATAAAGATAGCAAAGTAGGTCAAAAACATGACTCCAGTTATAGGGCATTGAAGATAGTCTAGCCAAGCAACACAGCAAAGTTTTGTTCCCAGTAACACTAGTGCTCTTGTTGAATGAAATCCTTTCAATTTCACATCACACCAATGAGTAATTCGAAAGTGGGGAACCAGGGGATAACAGTGAATCCAATTCCAGCAGATGTGAATGCTTATGGCCTTTGTAAAATAGAAGCCTGTAAACTTGTACCTCCGTCCAAATAGTGGGAGCATTCATACAGCTGAGCTAGCACACCAGGGATATTTGGCATTGATGAGAAAAGTAAAATCAAGCTCCAACTCCAAATTACTGACTTGGGTTAAGGCAGTAACTAATAGAAAGAAGCAAAAAGAAAAAATTGTAGGTTTAGATAACATTAATTTGCAGGACAATCAATAAGCATATTCAATCTCTTCGTCAAAACCGTAGTCAGAAAGTTGAGACTACTTCTTTTTCTTCTTCATTTTCTTTTTTTGAGTTTTGGTTAGAGGCTTGCTAATCGGTTTAGGATCTTCGATCTTGTGAGGACAACAAAGTTTGAAGAATTTGATAACCTCATCTTCATGTGATTCATGGGGATCTAATACGTCTTCTTCTTCGACCCAGCCGATAGGATTAAATTTCCTTCCTTGCTCAAGGATTTTAGCCTTACTCCTCGTAACAATTTGTGAGGGTGAGTACGTCTTTCTGCCCTTTAGTTCCTTGTGGAGATGGAGAGGGTGTTTGGAGCATCTAGAAAAGTCAATTTGCAAAGGTTTGAGCTTTGAATCTATGAACACAAAATCCTCCCCATCAAAGTGGGTATAGAGAATGGGTCCATCCCTTTCCTTAGCGTGATCTTCCACTGCGTTGAGGGATAGTATCAAATTTTGACCATTGAGATTTGAAAAGGGGTCTTCTTCCGGCTCTGTTATAACTTCAGTTCCATGTTCGTGAGTGAACAGAGCAGCATAGGAGTATAAACCAGGCACAAAGGCGGGAGCAGAAGGACTAAAGATTATCCGTCGAAGGGGTGGGAACACTTCGGCTTGACTGGTGGATAGGCTGTAATTAGGGGCTGCTTGAGTTTGGAAAATAACTAGTTGCTTGTTTGATTCAGCGGAGGTGGGATCTTGAACTAAGCCCTCTGAACTTGTGACATCTCCACTTTGTTGTGTATTTATAGTCTACCCTGTATCTGTAGGCATGGGTGAAATAGCAATACCAATGGGAGAATGGCTCTGTGAATCCTGATGTTCCTCAGGCACCTGTGACCTTACCTCAAGATTGGTAGCTCTCTTGGTGAATATGGCAAGGGCCTTTGTGAAAAGTTTTGGGCCATCCGCGTTTGAGTCGAAGGGTATAATAAGAAATGTACTGCCCTCTCTTCTAATCTCTTGGATTTTCACAAATTTGCCCCATTTATTGGAACCAATGGAAAGGTCTAAGGTTCTTTTTTTCCTCAAACTTAGACACTGCCCTACAATTAGGCTGTGAGAAAAAAGGAAGGGAACCTAGGATCCAATTAATCGTGTCCAAATCAAACCAAATGTGATATCTTCTAGCTCCAAAATCAGAAATGCAGAACTGGTGATTGTAGATGGAATAAAAGAGCTCAAATACCTTATTATGAGTCTGGAATTTGAAACTGATGTTTCGAGTGGTTGTTGTTGAACACTCTGCAAATCCATTGAAGCATACTCTCGAGTCACTGTAGACATACCGGTCGTGCTTTTCCTTAAAGAGTGGGTCTTTGAAAGGCCATTTACGTTGTCGTTGATGAGAGGGGGGATTCGGAAAGTGATGAATGATTCGTTTCCTTTGGAATCCATTGCATCGGGCATTGATCCTAGTATATCTTGAGCGACTACTGCTATTTGCCCAAAGATTAGGTTTGCCGATGAAGGAAATTGATGGCCGCCAAACTTGATGGGAGGAGTATTGGAGATCACCATTGAAACCGATATGTGGCCTCGGTGATTGAAATCGCCAAGAAAGCGCCGGTCGCCGCTCCTCCTTCTCTCTAGAAACGCCATCTCTCCAGGCCTGTGTGTGTGTGTGTGTATTGACTCAAAAGTCAACTTGTACACAGACTCAAAAATCTGCGTAAACAAAATTACTAGTGACGACAACAACGACTTCTTTACGACTTTGACCCGAGAGCTCATTAATAAATCTGGAGGACGAGTCAACCATATCTACCGAGAGGCAAACATGGCGGCGCATCATTTGGCACAACACGCAATGCAGAACAACTCTTTCAATTTCTTTCACTCGTTTTCTACACTCCCAAAAAAAGTTCGAGGAGCTATTAAATGTGATGTAACAACACCTTTTACTTGTCTAAAATAAAAGACCTTTCCCCAATATATATAGATATATATATATATATATATATATATATATATATATATATCATGGAGTTTCTAGAGAGAAGCCAGAGCAGGCGGAGCATAATTCCTAGATGGGGACGGGAGTCTGATAACAATTGCGCAGGACACCGGTTTTCTAGCTCCAGTGAATATCCAATCCCTTGGCGCTGCTCCAATTGCACAGGACTCAGGGTTTCTTCACAGTCTCGTGGAAGAGAAGGAATTTTTACCAACTCCAGGGAAAACATCCACCAATTGAATAGGCGGAGAAAATGGCCATTCAAATCTCCAAATTCGAGAAACTTAAAGAACTCCTACGTCCTCACCAGCACTCGCTTGCTCCAAGAAGGTGGAAGCCCCGCCATAAATCTTCTAAGCCACAACTCCACCTTCTCCTTCAAAATTCAATCAAAGGTATTTGAGCTATTTCACTCCCTTTACAATAAAAACATTTGCATCAGTGAGTGTGGGTACAAAAGATTCCAGATTTGGTTTGATTTGGAAACAATACGTTGGTTGTTGGAATCTATTTCTAGAATTACAGTTAATAGAGTCTGGGCTGTCTTCTCTTTTGGGAAGTCTCGTACAATTGAAGTCTCTACTGGAACAAATAGAAGGGGTGATTTTATTAAAATTCAAGAGAAAAGAAGAGAAGGAAAGTGCTTCATTAGAATCCCCTTTGGTCTTAGGAATGGTGAAATTAATTTGTTTTCCAAAACTTTATCATTCTTCTTTGAGAGGGTGACTAAGATTGAAGTTCCTAAGCCTCTAGATAAGACTGCCTATACTGTCGTTCAAGGTCCAGTTCCTTCTCTATTTCCTATTCTTTAGGAGCTGTAAATCCAGTTTTTGCAAAGGACTCTCTCTTTCGTTCAGTGTGCCAGGCTGCAGAAAACGACGGAGATAGCATTTGTGTTAATCTTCCTCTTAGAGCTGGTTTGAGTAACAATGTCTCCCAAGGAGACAAGGATATTGTTCTGGCACAGACCCAATTTGTTGAAGGAACTGTCACAGAGGCAATCAATAAGCCAGAATCTGTTGAGAGTCGAGGTAACTCTGACATTTCTTCTTGCTCCTTGGTGAACGAGGGTGCTTATATTGATTCCCTGAAAGGAAGGGAGGCAGTAGCAGGTAGGCATGATCAAGTTCATAAGCTCCTTTCCCCCTTTGCAAAGGAATTTATCCCCCAATCCAACTCTTTTAGCACTCTTTCGCATCTTGGAACAGAAGATAATGTTTTGGTTATGGAGGAAGATCCTTTCAAACATTTAAATGAGAAAAATTTGGTTCTTCATTTTAATGCTCTTGAAGAGAGAATATCCCCGAGTGACGAACCCATTTGGTACAACCATTCGGATGTTGAAGATGCCCCATTCTTTGTGTCAAAAATAAGGCCTTTAGCAATCGATCTTTCTAGATGCTCAAAAATCTCTATGGATTTACCAAAAGTCTTTAAACGAAGGAAACTCTTCTCTCCCTCACAGATTGTTACACGTAGTAAAGCCAAGGTTCTCTCCTCTTGTAAGAGCATTCTCCCTTCGGACAGGTATCTATCAGAATCTGATGTTGTTAGTGATTTTGAAGGTACTCTTGATAATATCTACCGACCGATTAAAGGTCAAAAATAGTTAGTCTTTTCTCTACAAGCCCCTAAAACAAAAAAGAAAGGGAGGCAGCGTACTAAGGCTCAAAAGAAGAAGAAGAAGACTATGCAATGACTCCTCCAATTAGATTGAAGATTCTGTCTGGGTTATATCTTATATAATTGCTTTTCATATATGCTGCACTAGTTTACTATGGGTATTTCTGTTGATTACTGATTATCTTGAAGCTTTGCCTACTCAAGGGTGCCTTTTGTTAGTATGGAGAATCTCAAAACTTTGTTCAGTAACTTAATGTTACAAGAAGCATATTGGCTGCCAATTATCTGGCTTAAAAATGATATTCACAATTTTAGTCTCGTATAACTCTTGGTTCGCAGTAAGGTGAGTCTCAGTTGCGCTGTTTTGCTTGACTCTGATCTGGAGAAGCATTGTTGTTGGTGACAACTCGTACCCTGGCCTACTTGGTTTTGACAGAAACTGTCTCGTTTTCACAGCATCATGCTTATTTCCTTTGGATGGATATCACCAACACTCATATTTTTGTTTGATCACAAACTGGATAGGGATAAGAATGGCAGGGAGAATTAAAGCTGATACTGCATCTTTGTCTTCTATTATTTGAAGTTTAGCCTCTTGTATTATGTTTTTGAGGTGGCATCCCCCTTCACTGTCCAGTTTCCCTTATAATGTACTCCGTACCTTTCTTTTCTTGCCTCTCATCCAGCCTTTTTTCCTTAGATTGTCTTTTATTTTGGCCTTGTTGTTGGGGTTCGGCCAACCCCCTCCATTTGTACTTTCTTTCCTCTTTTTTAATAATAAATTTCTTTTCCTTTAATATATATATATATATATATATATATACACGAGGAATTTGTTCAGCATGCATGAGAAATGAAGATGGATATAACCACACGCTGTTACAATGTCCAATTGCCATGGATTTATGGAAATACTTCGCACTACTGTTAGATGGACCCTTACCCTCATCCAACAGTACAATCCAACATCACCTCCTCCTTTGGTGGACAAGAGCTAGGGGAAAAGGATTGGATGGTAACCTACGTGCAGTGGTACCTGGTTTTATTGCATGGACCCTTTGGAAGAATCACACCTCGACCCTCCATGAAGATCGGAAAAACAACATTCATAGCCTCACCAAAATGATAACCTCTCTTATCCAAAGGTGGTGTTGGAAAAATAGGAAGAAAAAATGGCTAATCAAGGGACCAAGTCAAAACAATGCACACTGGAGAGGGGATTTCTTTTGTCTTAATGGAAGAGTTCTGCTGGATTCCTTAGTTTAATTTTATCAATTTGTAATAGTTTAAAGACATTATCTTCCTTCTTTTCCTTTACACCTTTGGGGCTAGGTCTTGCCCTTTTATATTTATATATATATATATATATATATATATATATATATATATTAATAATATTTTATTAATAAAAGAAGAAAAAGGGAAGTGCAAGGGGGGTTGGCCGAGACCCCTACAAGCAGACCAAAAACAAAGAGTAAACAGAGAACCAAAAAACAAAAGTCCAAAGAAAAGGGTGCAATACTAAAGCCACTAGGGTATGGGTAAATAACCATCAATTCTGAACAACCAGAGTGGTTGGCTGCTTCTTCTTGGATCAGTATCAAGAACAAATTAATTACCCCATTATTGTCCTTAAAAGTTCAGCACCACCAAACGTAAGGGTATGCTATTAGAGCCTCCAAAAGCAGTAACTTCCGAGCACTAATTTAAGCAAAATACAACCCAACCCATTAAATCTGGCCACCAAAAAGTAGAAAGCTGAAGATCCTCACCTAGGAGAGTAGCAAGAGGTGGGAGTGGCCCGTCCCCAACAAGCTGGCCAAAGCATCAGAACATAACACTAAAAACAAGTAAAAACAGAACAGAAGAAAGGAGTACAAAGATGGAAACGTGATGCTAGCAGCAATTAACCCAAAATTTGTTGTCTTTCTATTGGAATCCCAGCAACCTTATCTTCCGATTAGGATTTATGACCTGATAAAATCAAAATACATCCTTCATTCCACCCTTTAAGTGATCTAATCCAGCATAGCTTGTCCTTGATTGTAGCATCCCAAAAATAGCTTGATTTGTGCTAATAAAATGACCTAATACCACTCTTTGCAAACTAGGACCCCAAGAGATAAATGGCTATACTTCATTAAACCCAATCTCTAATCTAAAGATGTTCCACCAATCGTGAGTGCACACTCAACAAGACCTGATAGCTTAAAGCACCTACTCATGAATCTCAAAACCCAAAAACTGCAACAAAGATAATATATCAAACAAAAACTGTAAATGACCCATGCCAAAAATATAATCCTAATCAATCTTGATCTCCGCATAAATGAGCTAGAACGACATTCATATCTTCTTTCGCATAGGAAAGGTACACCGGATACCTTGCACCTTCCATTGTTGCTGCATCAATATACTCAAAGCTTTTGATTGCCTCGGAGTAATTGAGAGATTGTTAAGAATCTTGTCTTACCGGATTTGGATTCTGAAATTCTAATACACTGCCCTTCAGCTAAAAGCTCAAAGTCTTTGCTCTCAATTGATAGTGTAACCAGACCATCTGCGCTGAGATTTGGACGAGATTGGAGTGCCTTGCCATAAGAGAGGCAATCAAAAGCTTTGAGTATATTGATGCAGCAACAATGGAAGGCGCAAGGTATCCGGTGTACCTTTCCTATGCGAAAGAAGATATGAATGTCGTTCTAGCTCATTTATGCGGAGATCAAGATTGATTAGGATTATATTTTTGGCATGGGTCATTTACAGTTTTTGTTTGATGTATTATCTTTGTTGCAGTTTTTGGGTTTTGAGATTCATGAGTAGGTGCTTTAAGCTATCAGGTCTTGTTGAGTGTGCACTCACGATTGGTGGAACATCTTTAGATTAGAGATTGGGTTTAATGAAGGATAGCCATTTATCTCTTGGGGTCCTAGTTTGCAAAGAGTGGTATTAGGTCATTTTATTAGCACAAATCAAGCTATTTTTGGGATGCTACAATCAAGGACAAGCTATGCTGGATTAGATCACTTAAATGGTGGAATGAAGGATGTATTTTGATTTTATCAGGCCATAAATCCCAATCGGAAGATAAGGTTGCTGGGATTCCAATAGAAAGACAACAAATATTGGGTTAATTGCTGCTAGCATCACGTTTCCATCTTTGTACTCCTTTCTTCTGTTCTGTTTTTACTTGTTTTTAGTGTTATGTTCTGATGCTTTGGCCAGCTTGTTGGGGACGGGCCACTCCCACCTCTTGCTACTCTCCTAGGTGAGGATCTTCAGCTTTCTACTTTTTGGTGGCCAGATTTAATGGGTTGGGTTGTATTTTGCTTAAATTAGTGCTCGGAAGTTACTGATTTTGGAGGCTCTAATAGCATACCCTTACGTTTGGTGGTGCTGAACTTTTAAGGACAATAATGGGGTAATTAATTTGTTCTTGATACTGATCCAAGAAGAAGCAGCCAACCACTCTGGTTGTTCAGAATTGATGGTTATTTACCCATACCCTAGTGGCTTTAGTATTGCACCCTTTTCTTTGGACTTTTGTTTTTTGGTTCTCTGTTTACTCTTTGTTTTTGGTCTGCTTGTAGGGGTCTCGGCCAACCCCCCTTGCACTTCCCTTTTTCTTCTTTTATTAATAAAATATTATTAATATATATATATATATATATATATATATATATATATATATATATATATATATATATATATATATATATATATATATATATATATATATATATATATATATATATATATATATATATATATATATATATATATGCACCGTGAGAAAGAGAAATAATCATAATAGGAGTAGTGCCTAAAAGGAAAAAAGAGAAACGAACAGAGTAAATCGCAGGGTAGAATCGCATGCCAAGATCACCAACACTGCCACTGTTGCCTAGGTCGCCGGGAAGTGTTTCCACCGCCAGCGCTTCCTCACCGAGTTTGTTGTTCCTCATCGTTCGTGGCTCTTTGTATTTTTCTAATAATTGAAGTGAGTACATGGACATCTAACGCTAAATTATGTATATAAGTTTGAAATTCACGTTCGTAGTTTCGTACGATTGATTATGTGATTTATTTGCTTCTAGCGTTAATTATGGTTTCTTAAAATTATATGATATTTTTGGATTTTATTGATTGAGGAAGTCCATGTACGTTTTCTTACTTCAAAATTATGTTATTTCATGATAATAATCTTTAAAATGTTATACACATTGAATGGTTTGGAATAAGATCAAATTGAGCTCTTTCTGTACCGTTTCCGACCCAGATGGTAGCTAGGTACTACCAGGACATAACCCTTCTACCGCCATAAACCCACTGCGACCGTCTGTCATTGCTAGTACCTGCGCCTTGACGGTAAGGGGGTACCAGGCACACAGTATTAAGGTACTGCCACGTAGTACTGAGGTACCGCGACGATACTGTGTCAGCCCTTTTTTGACTTGTTAATTGTTTGTTTGACCGCATTTGAAACCCGAATTGACTCTAAGACCCTATGTGTTGCATGACGGTAAGTGGAAGATGTTAGGTGAAGTATAGGTAGACCGAGAAACAGAATAAGAATACCGTTATGAATAACTGGTCATGTGATGAGCTGGCATGCATGATCAGTTGGGTAGTGCATGTGCACGGGGATCATGGATCTGCTCATGGATGTGAGTAGGTGGTCCCACCCAGCCGACGTTAGATGACGTCGCATCGAGCGGGTTCTTCCATGGATGTGGTTGAATCAGGACTCTAAAATAAAAAATTGGCCTTAGCATAGAATAGGTTCTCAGCTTAGATATAAGGAAGTTGATTATGAGATTTGCAGGATTATGTATCATAAATGCCTAAGTTACAAATGAGATAAGTTTGGTAATCCTGGTAAGTATGTTTGATTTATGAACTATCTGATATTAATGATGTCATTGATGTGTACTTGTGTGCATGATATTGTATGATGTTATAAGCTAGTGAGTTCGTGTATGTGTGTAGTCGAAATGTTAAATATTTCTCACTTATTAGCTTCAATGCTGAGCTTGTAGCCCTTTTTTCTATTTGCTACACGTAGGTAACAGGAACGCTGAATAATGAAATAGTCTTGGAGGCAATGAGGGCGAAGGGATGGATGCAAGCTGGAGGAATTTAATTACATAGAATTATATTTGAATTTATTGTGAATAAGGGTTATGAACCCAAGTTGTATTTGAATTAAGTACTTTAAAGTTTCCGCACCGTTTTTGTTATCTCCGATGGATTTATAAATAATGTTTTGTATTAAATGTTTTAAATTGTTTTGAAAATTATTGTGTTTAGATGCCAATTTAGGAGGGTGTATTCAATCTGGATTTTAAAAGATTGTATAAGATTATTTAAAATTTATGGATTATGTAAAATCCATGGATTGTTTTAATTCTACGTCGACTTAGATAGATTTTATTGTACTTTTTTGGCAAGATTTTAAAAGATTGTGTTAGATTGTTTAAAATCCAAATAATAATAATGTGGAACAAAAAAATTTACCGTGAACAAAAATAAAAATAAAAAAGCCAAAAATCGATCAAAAGCAAAAAAATTTACCGTGAAAACAAAATTGAACTATTAGAAATAAATTGAACAAAAAGCAAAAAAAAGGTCAAATCAAAATTAAACCAAAAGCAGAACAAAAATTGAAAAAATATACAGCGTAAAATTTACCATGAAAAAGAAAATGAACAAAAGCAAAAAAAATTACCTTGAAAAAAAAATATACATAATGTAAAAAAGGGGTTAGGGAGTATCAATAACAAAACCGGGGGCACCACTAGAGGGCCGCATATCCGATCTCTAAACCCCTCCGTCGCCCTGCAATCCTATTTGTCGCATACCTTTTCTCGTTCATGTGCCGTCGTGTTTGCAATTGATACTGGTACTCTTCTAGCATACGAAGTAGGGGACAAAGGTAATAGATTCGAGAGGTGAAATCCATACGTTATATGAGAGATTTGTAAATGGATTTCTATTTATATGATGAACCTTGAAATCCATCAAAATCTGCTTTTAACAAAAATTCTTGAGAATCTGTAGACTTTTTAATACCTTTAGATTTTGATGGATATTTTAAAATCTTAATTAGATACATCTAGATTTTTAAGGAATTTTTAAAATCTTAATTGAATACCCATAGACTTTTCAAATCCTAAAAAATACTGCTGAATCAACGTTTAATACACCCCCTTTAGTAGCAACCTGATTCACTAACTTGTTGAATCGGGTTTGGGTGTTACACCAGCCACCTCACAAGGCACTCGACACTTTTCCCGAGGTCCACCTCGTCCACCTCGCAGGTTTTTAATTTAGGTTTTTTTCTCAGCATGTTTTTAATGAGGCATCCCCCATGGAGTGAATCACACATCGATGAGACTGTGAGCGGATTCTTGAAGATGACAAACGAACTACATATGACGATTTCTTCATCCACTCTTATGATGCTCGTTGCGCAATGAGCCAATGATGTACTTTATACCAGAGAAGATCCTTTCAAAACAATGAGCAAATTATGTTGTTTTTTTCTTGCTTTGCCATGCTAGAGAGCGAGTCGGCAGCACACCTTGTACTGATTGGTGCAGTCTCTCTTTGCCACTCTGGACAGCGAATCGGTAGTGCACCTCGTATTGATTGGCGTAGTTTTTCTTTACCACTCCGGAAAGCGAGTTGGTAGCACTTCATGAAGATTTGCGTAGTTTGTCATACTTGCCATGCTCTGGACAGCGAGTTGGCAGTGCATTATGGACAACGTGTCAGTTGTGTGCCATTCCGTGATGGATTTTGTTCTACTTCCTTTTCACCTCGAGTTCCCCTCTGCTCAGGAAGTGGGGGACTCATTATGGATACCGTGGACATGTGGGTATCCAGTATTAGTATAATATTAGTTGGGGCGGTTCAGAAAGTATAGTAATGTGTACGTGTACATCGTCATGTTACCTCCACATTACGAAAGTGCGAACTCTTATTCGAAAATAAAAACATGAAAGTCTCATTTTGGTACTTTTTCTATGTTTTAGTCGTATTTAGGGTGATTTTTATTACTGGCGACCCAATCTTTTGGGCTGACTCATTAGTTTTGTATATGGGCCTAAACTTTAACCCTTATTTTTCCCTATTTATACCCCACTTCCTAGAATAGAGGAGGGGGGACAATTCATTCGATATACACAAGACACAACACATTACTCTTTTCTTCTTTTTCTACTCATAGATTCACAAATCTATCAAGATTAATAGAAGTCATAGATATTCTCTCTCTACTAAATAATCAATGTGTATTTTTCTTTCATTTCTATATCAAAGCAGTGTACAAAGTATATTTTTTGTGATGAAAGGATAGATTAGAGCAGAATTGGAAAATAAAGTGGCATAGAATAGGCTACGGCCTCTTGACGATACATTTCATGATCAACACTTGTATTTTCCCTTTCTTTTTACCGTTGGTGTTGAGCATGACTTTAATTTGCTGGTATGCTTTCCCATTTGAACTGTGCCAAAATTTTCTTATCTTTGTTTTTTAAAAAATAGTTATGTAGTCCTTATTAATTTTCTTTTCTCTTCACATATTTCACTTTATCAAAAATCGTGTCAAATTAAACTTGGAAGGTAATTCTAGAACAGAGAAAGAATTTTCATTATTAGTTGTTAAAAAATAGTCATATCACCTCTTATTTTGTATAGTTATTAATGTACTTTTTAATAATGTATTTTTATTTATTAACTATAAAAAATAATACTAAATAGGAGTAAAACACATTATTCATTCTCAAATTAGGACTTTCATATTTTATCTCCAAATAAAACTTTGTATTTTGACATTATGATATTGTATAGTGAGATCTCATTATGTTTGTGGTATTATATGTTGCAATTTTGACACATAACAGGACAACCTTGGACGTAAATTCGGTAGGTTACACAAAATTATTTTTTCCAAATAATTATGGACCAACATTATTCTAAGTGAGACGAGTATTTCGCTATAATGTGCGCCAAAACTGGTGGTCAGGTGAATGAGAAATTAATTCACAAATTAGCTCACTTGGAAGGGGAAAAACCCACGTTTTCCACATCAGTTTTGAAACCCTTCAACTTCCTCCATTTATATGCTAGTCTTTAATGACATTGTAAAAGCAATGTATGGAGGGAGAACCAAGGGAGCCCTCGCGCACTGTCGCCACTGTCTGGCTTAGCACGACATGCACGCGCGAATAAAAAACTGGAAAACAGGAAGGGAGAAAGACCAAAGTAGGACTAAAACATTGAAAATATATCAAAATAGGACTTCCATGTTTTTATTCCTGAAATAGGACTTACATTACCATACATGGTCATATACATTACCAAAAAAGTATAGTAATGTGCACATGTACACTGCCACATTACCACAGTGCAAAGTCTTATTTCGGGAAAAAAACATGGAAGTCCTATTTTGGTACTTTTCCCTATGTTTTAGTCCTATTTAGGGTGATTTCTAAAACAGGAATCACCTTAAGTATAGTACCGAAAATCAGATCTGTTAGATTCCGGTTTGGACCTGATTTTCCGGTCTTGTTCGAATAAAAACCAGAAAACTTGGGATTTTTTTTATATTTTTTTGTCAAATTTTTTAAACTTGTTTTTCAACTATGTAGCTTGATTTGAAATGATTTCTACCCTATTCTTAATTTATATATTCATTTGGCGTGTTTCGAAAAACTATATTATTGTAAAATATTTTAATCAACAATATTGTAAGTTTAAAATAAGTTTTTTATTTTTGTTAGTTTGTGGAATTTCGAAAATATTATAAAGTTATGCTTTAAATTATTTTGTTTTTTTTACAAAATAAGTTAAATGTCAAATAATGTAATACTCTAAATTGAAATATTTTACTTTCACTTTTTTTGAAATTGTTTTAATTTTTTATAATTATGGAGATTTTTGGGTAAAGGTCAATGACTATAATTATAGAAAGTAATGAAAATCCGTTAAAAATTAACATTACATTTAAAAAATTATACTCTATAATAAAGTAAGAAGAAAAAATAAAAATGCAAAGTTGTATTATCAATACTCTGTATTATAATAGGTATTAAAAATAAAAAAATTTACATTCTGATCTTACCCGTCCGACCTGTACACTAACCGGTGTTGGACCAAAATAGATCTGATTTTTACTAGTTGTTAATGTTTAGACCAGAACCAGTTTTTTCGGTCCGATCAGACCCACATTTTGTACCCCAAATTGGAATTGGAAGGAGTTCATTTCTCTCCATCATCTAACCAAGTAAACCAACCATGTAGCTACTAGATAAGCATAAAGGGTTGGGGTGAAGTACCAAAACAAATTCCGGGGGGCAATCAGTTTGCAGACCACACACAACAGCGCTACTAGTGTGACCATTTTTGACGGCAGCAGTCGCCCTCTATGTCCTCAGAAACCGCCGTAATCGCATGGTTGGTTCTTAAACCCTAAAACCCGCTTTCCAATATCATCCTCTGTGCTGTTTCTCCAGCGTTGGGTTCATGAATATACATATTTATGTGTGTCCAAATGACTGTTTAACAGGGGCTCGGGAGAAGACGGACAGTTAGGAATAGGGGATAACGAAGAGCATGAATGGGTTTGCTCGATCAAAGCTCTTCAGTCCGAGAAGGTTTGTTCAGTTGTCGCCGGCAGCCGGAACTCTCTAGCAATCTGCGAGAACGGCAAGGTACTCTCAAGAATCAACTTGTTGTGTATGGCCTAAAGCTTCTTTTTTTATTTGATTTAGTTTTGCCTTAATTTTCACCGAATAGTTGTTCACATGGGGCTGGAATCAAAGGGGGACCTTGGGCCACCCACCTGAGACTAAGACTGAGAATTTTCCCAGTCAAGTTAAAGCTCTTTCCAATGCCAAGATTGTTCAGGTGATCTCAGTTCTGAATGTTAATGCCAAGAGGACGAGAAATTTTGGCACTAATGCGGAGTCCAATGTTGTATTTTCTGATTTCAGGCGGCTATTGGTGGATGGCATTGTCTGGCTGTAGATGACCAAGGGCGAGCGTATGCTTGGGGTTTAAGATTATTTGCTTTGTCATTAATTCTTTGGAAAACATGAAATAATTGACTATGGATAAAAAGAATCTCTGGATGATATCTTTTTCGAATTTTCAAAAAATGCTCCATAGTATTGTCAAACCTTTTGTGAATAAAAGAGTAATTCTTTGCTCTCAAAATTAAATCACTTCAGGTGGGAATGAGTATGGTCAGTGTGGTGAAGAACCAGAGAGGAAGGATGACTCAGGAAAGCCTGTGAGGAGGGATATTGTTATTCCACAGCGATGTGTGCCAAAGCTTTCTGTGAGCCAGGTGAAATTATGCTCAATGTGCCATTTCTCTCTCTCTCTCTCTCTGGGATTTTAAACTTATTCTCCCCCATGTGTCTGCTAGTAACTCTGCAAAGAACATTTTCCCTCAATTTTCTGCTCAATGTGCTCCTTCATTTTTGATGGACTCGAAGATTCACTTTTTTGGCTTTGTGGTATGATGGAATAAAGCAAAATGACTCTTTAAACTTTTTGCATTTTTTTATAGTGAAGTAACAATTAGTCATTGCAACTTTCGACGCTCTATACATTATTATCACTCCCTCCATCCAATTTTTGTTCATTTCTTTTATGGATGTATGTAATTAGTTGTCTACTTACTGTATTTAGCAAACTAGTTATGTGAATTGTTGCCATCAATGAAGGACAAACTAATTTAAGTTTTTGTTTTTGTTGTTATTTTACCCCCATTCTTTAAATTTGGGGTACTTTAGAAAGTAAACAACAAAAGTATTGTTATTTTTCACATGCATGTGGTCACATAGTAATAAAATTGCACTCCAGATATGTGTAAGATATTCTTTCTTAGACATTGTTTAGGCACACNTTGTCTACTTACTGTATTTAGCAAACTAGTTATGTGAATTGTTGCCATCAATGAAGGACAAACTAATTTAAGTTTTTGTTTTTGTTGTTATTTTACCCCCATTCTTTAAATTTGGGGTACTTTAGAAAGTAAACAACAAAAGTATTGTTATTTTTCACATGCATGTGGTCACATAGTAATAAAATTGCACTCCAGATATGTGTAAGATATTCTTTCTTAGACATTGTTTAGGCACACTTCTAGGGATGCAAGATAACATCACTTTTGGTTGCTAATCCTTAAGACTCACTAAATTCAACAACAATCAATAACTCAACAAAACACATCAATTTTTTTTGATAGAATAAATTTCTTGTTTATTGACAAGGTCGCTGCTGGCGGTACTCACTCAGTGGTTCTTACGAAGGAAGGTCATGTATGGACATGGGGTCAACCATGGCCTCCTGGTGACATGTACCCTTCTAATCTCTAATGGAATATATTATACTTGTCAATAACTCAAAAGGGAATAAGTTTTTTGTTTTTTTCCTGCAGAAAGCAAATATCAACTCCTGTTCGAGTACAAGGCCTTGCAAGTGTAAGGCTAATTGCAGCAGGGGCTTTTCACAACCTGGCACTTCTGGATGATGGAGTCTTGATGGCGTGGGGTAATAATGAGTATGGACAACTTGGAACTGGGGACACCCAGCCAAGATCACAACCCATTTCTGTTCAAGGACTATCTTCTGTTTCACTGGTTTGTACAGTGGTTTCCCAATCTAGTGGCGACCCTTTATTTTCAACACAAAATGAGTTCACATGACAGTTTTTCATATTTCTCCAGGTTGACATTGCTGCTGGAGGATGGCATTCTGCAGCATTGACAGAAGAAGGGGAGGTATTTGTTGTCCTTCGGTGTTTATGTTAAGTTAGAAAAGACGGAGTCTACAATACCAGTACTACCAAATAGCAAGTTTGATGAGTGATGACCGACCAAGTTTTTCCTGACACTGTTACAATGTGTTTTGAATGAGTGAAGGGAGGAAAGTATTAAGGGGATGGAAGGGAGTCATAACTTATAAATAAATAAGGGCAAGGTTAGTAAATGAGAAGAAAAGAGAGAGTTATAAACGATTATGATGCTCTCTTGTTTGGATTACAAAGAAAATGTAGGGAAAGTGTTACTTCCTCCATCGAGATTTAGCTGTCCGTTTTATAAAAAATCTCATTTTTATGAAATGAGTTTGAAAGTTTTAATGAGTCATTCAAATGACTTTGTCACTCATTCATGTCAACAACGCTCATACCCTCTCTAAGATATTTTAGACAATTCTTCATAATTACTTTACTAATTATGAAAAGTTCACAACTTATTTTGGACAAAAAACAAGAAAGTAAATAACTAAATCCAAATGGAGGGAGTATAATATATGAAAGGTTATGTCGTTATGATTAGGAAGGGGTCCCCTTGTTTTCCAAATTTTACCACAAATTAAAGGGATTATAAATGAGGGAATGTGAATATGTTGATAATCCACTCATTAACTTCCCCTTCCATTTACCCGCTAGGCAAACAAAGGATATGAGTGCTCTCCGTTCCTTGCTTCTTCCCCTGAATCCAAACAAACCCTCATGTTTTTTGTTGATCAAAGGGATGTAATTCAATTCTTTCATGGATTTGGAATTTTTTGCTCTTCACGTCTTCCGGTTTTAGAATTATGAACAATGCACAGCAATAAGTACCAACAATCATGTATCGTCTTACTTCTATAGCAAATGCATCAGTCAGTATTTTTTGGGCATTTTGGAGCAACCGGACCTCTTGAAAACACCTGAGTGAATGTGATCTGATCTTTATTTTAAGATCTCACATGCTTTTATCTTTTCTCAGAATCTCTTTGGTTCTATCTGGCATCTAAATCTCTTTGGTCTCTGGATCTTTATTTTTGACTGGCCACTGCATGTTCTTTATCTAATTTTTTGTCTGAAATGTCTTTCTAGTATGGCCTTATGCGAATGTTTCTGGTCTCATTTGATAGATCAAACCATATTTGTGCTTGAATTTTATTTAATTCTCATTTATTTGTGGAACCATTGGTCAAATGATTAATTGCTGATTGTAAGGAGATGTGTTCAACCCCTAAACCTCTCTTGATTAAGAAGCAAGGTTGTGGAATTCTCTTTCCTTGCCCCAAGTACGCAACATATTGAGGAGCAAGCCTTGTACTTTTGGTCTGGCCTTTAACCATCAAAATGATCAGTGTCACCACATTTGATAGAATCATAAATACGAGGGGAAATGTATCTAGGTTTATTATGAAGAGTTTTAAGTTTGATACCGGTTGATTGGTGGCCGCATTTCTATACAATGGCGAGTGTGTGACGACCACCACATGCCACGAGTTTAGCACACCAGTGTCTGGTAGCCTCAGTGTTGTTAGTCAAACCCATAAAATTTAAGGAATGATGTGAACTGAAAAAAACGCGCATGAAATTGGGTTTTCTTCCGTGGATGTGGACAAGCTAGCCCAGTATGCTCTTCAGGGGGTTTTTAGTGATTCCCCATAAATTTTTTACAAAATACTGTAAATGAACAATTAGTTCCGGACAGCACAAAATAGAAAAATCGGACAACTGAATGATTCCCCACAATTTCTTTACTAAATACAGTAAATGAATAATTGGTTTTGGACACCACAAAGTAGAAAAAGGACAACTAAATCTGGATGTACAAACTACGAAGTATCTTTTATTTTTATGTCCGTTAAGTGTTGTATGAATTCCAGGTTTATGGTTGGGGGAGAGGGGAGCACGGAAGGCTAGGCTTTGGGGATGATAAGAGCAGTAAAATGGTGCCACAAAGGGTTCAACTTTTATCAGGGGAGAATGTTTTGCAGGTAAAATAAATTGTTCTTGCCATCCCTATTCGTTGACCTAAAAGTTTTGATTCGGACAGTTTAATTTAAGCTACAATCTCCTCATGTCAATGTGCATATTGAATCATATCACTTTGTATATCCCAAATTCTGCTGCATGTTGCAGATCTCGTGTGGAGGCACTCACTCTGTGGCTTTAACGCGCGATGGTCGCATGTTTTCTGTAAGTGGCATGACATTTTCTTAAGACAATATCTTAACCTGACAAAGGGAATTCAAAAGAGATGTGCTAGGGGTACACCAAGTGTGTACTCTATTTGCACACCAAGTGTATCACAAACACGCAAAGACAACAATTGTGCACAGAGCCACAGACAATTGTTGGACAATTGTTGTCTGTGTGTCTGTGATACACTTGGTGTGCAATTTGGGGCACAAACTTTGCGTACTCCTAGCTTAAAAATCAAAATGTTATTATACCTTGGTGGTGTTTGATTGGCAGTTTGGGCGAGGGGACCATGGACGTTTGGGGTACGGGAGAAAGGTGACAACCGGTCATCCTTTGCAAGTGCCCATCAACATTCCACCTCCAAGGGATTTGACCGAGTCTGACGGACTCTGGTGTGCTAAACTCGTGGCATGTGGTGGCCGTCACACACTCGCCATCGTAGAATGGCGGCCCACAACCGTTCAACCTGAGCAGCAGTTGCTGCTATGAAAGTTAATACTCTTCATAATTAAAAAGGCAGATACAGTTTCCCATCCGGTATAACTTCAAATGCTGTCTTACTGTACAATTCTTCTTTTTGTTTTTATTTTTAATATAGTTCACTGATAGGTGCTCTTTGACAGCTTTAAGACTTTCTTTTTTACTCCCTCGTCCCATATTATATGTCACATTCCGAATAATGTGTAAAATCTTGTCATTTTTAAAATCATTTTAATTACAAATTAGAATATTCTCATTTTTTATTTGATAAAACTAGACTTGTATTCTTGCGTTGTACTGTCTAAGTTACTAAAAAATCATGAAAGGTTTTGAAGAAGGAAAAAGTTAAAAAAACTCAAAGAATAGATAATTTAATGAAATTGTAAAGAATGGGAAATATACATTAACACTCAATGTCGATAGGAAGTGTTATAGGTTTTGGAAAACTTCTTTATAAACTATATTTGTAATTTGGTTTGACAATCCAAGATCTTCATTGCAAATCAAGATCTTTAACCCGTTGCAATTTGTGACACGTGAAATTGGCACATAAAGTTGATCATTACTGAATATTGATTTCTTGAGTTATAATATAACATGTGACGAAGATTGATTTCTTGAGTAACAATATACTCCCTCCGTCCCAATTTAAATCGCTTGTTTTGACTTTTGGGCATATTTAAGGAAAATAAAAAATAGAGTTGATTTTTCGAAATTGACATTATTTTTTAAGAGGGGTGATGATGAATGAGAAGATAAGGTGAAAAAGAGTGACTTATTTTAAGGGTAGTTTAGGTATTTTATTTTTAAAAGTTTACGAAAATAACTAACAGGCAATTTATTTTGGGACAGAGAAAAAAGGCAAACAGGCAATTTAAAATGGGACGGAGGGAGTAACATGTGATGAAGATTGTCTTTGACTATTGTTAATCGTCATTGCGTATGAAGTCATAATTGGGAATTGTTTCCTTTGAAACTTAAAAAAAAATTTGGTATCTGACATTGTAAGCGATAACTGTGGGATAACTTCTTGGCCAATATTTTTCCATATCAGCATTGTACCTTGAATAAGATGATTGCCCAATTGAGTTACTATCAACCTTGTTCCATCGCACAAACCTGTTGATTGGTTAATATTTCTCAACTACATGATGATGTTTTGACCTTTAACTTGAGTTCATGATTTGGCACATCAGAAACTCGTATGTTGTTCAAAAATTCAAAAGAATGCAAGTCTCTTAAAAAATTTGTATTTGAATCGGACTTGCACACCACATCAGAGCTAAAGTAGCTTTTTTGCTTCTCCCACGTTATTCATTGATGTCATGTAGCCATTTATTTCATCCATGATGTCTCGATTTTGCAAATACGTGGGATCATTTGCGATATTGTGGAAGTCTAGATAAGTTGAATTAACTATAGATGCAATTGAATCATTTAGTCCTTTTAACAACATTTTTTCACAAATAATGACCTCACTGAATCCATTGTTTTTTTCTCTGGCCAAGCCATCACTTGTAATCTACTCGGAAAATGGTGTCATGCTCTCATAATTGTTATCGTGGGACATATGTTGCAAGAACATGTTTTTGGTCGAACATAACACTGTGAATAGTTCTATAAATATGAAGAGTTAATAGTAGCATTGAAAATGTCTTATCTTCTTCCTTTAGTGGAGATGCGATAGAGGAGAATCCTTCCACGAAACATCGGTAATATCCAGCTAGACCGAGAAAGTTTCTTACCTCTCGTGCATTCCTTGGTGTCTTCCTCTCTGTGATAGCTGAGATCTTGATAGGGTCGGGTGCACTTTGATACCCTCTTTAGAGAATACATGTCCCAAGAATGTAACCGCATTGAGCCAAAACTCACACTTTGAGAGTTTGACATTCAACTTGTGCTCTCTTAGCACACCAAGTACTACCTGTAGATGTTTGGCAGGATCCTCAAGTGTCTTAGAATACATCAGGATATGTTCAATGAAGACTACAAATTGGTCCAAGTAGGGGGGAAATATGCTAATCATGAGATCCATGAATATTGTTGGGGCATTAGTCAACCCATACAAGATCACGACAAATTTGTAGTGCACATAGCTTGTACAGAAAGTAGTCTTTGGAATATCTTCCTTGTTAACCAGGATTTATGGTATCCCGATCAAAGGTCTATTTTAGAGAACGTGGTTGCTTCATTGAGTTGGTTAAACAAGTCATCGATTTGTGGAAAAGGGTAACGGTTCTTGCAATTACTTTATTCAACTATCTGTAGTCGATGTAGAGCCTCATCAACCCATCTTTCTTTTGGAAAAAAGAGCTGGTGCTCCACACAAGGACACACTCAGTCTGATGAATCCCTTGTCGAGTAAGTCATGTATTTGAGCATTTAACTCTTTCATTTCTGCAGGTGTCATGCGCTATGGTGTCGTAGATATAGGTTCCGTTCTCGGAACCATATCAATAAAAAATGCCACTTTCCTTGGAGGTGGCAGGGCGGGGAGACTGTATGGAAATATGTCTGGGAAATCACACACAGTAGGGATATCTTTCCACTCGAAGTTTCCTTTTGCGTGTCACAAATATTACAAAGAAAGGCTTTGTATTTCTTGCAAATGTGGCATCGAGCTTGCATGAAGGAAACAAATTTTGGTGGCTTAGAGAACGACTTCCCCTAAACTTCCACTACCCCACTAGCATCGGCCTTTAGCCGTACTGTGTAGTCCGCAATCAATTATGACTTGATGCTTGGTCAGCCAATCCATACCAAGGATAATTTCAAATTTTTATATGAAATCCCTAAGGAGTCAGTGGAAAGTTTTGGAACACGTGATACAACCTCATACTATGTTTTAAGGGATTGGACACTATACTCTAGGCCGACTCTCAAAATATCGAACTTCTCAAGCATCGAAATACAAATATAGGACAATGTGGAAACTAAATCAATCAATGCAACCATATTTGTGTCGAACAATGAAAACATACCCAACATGGCGTATGTGCGTGCTAGTGTGTGTATCCATGATGGACATTCTGGACCTAGCTTTAACTCTAGTTCCTCAGCGGGTGCGACCCCGTGGTTGTACGCTGACGTTGAGTAGGACGGGCTATGGTTGTCTGTGTAACACCCTAATTCATCCAGGTCTGCAGCCCCTTTCAGACTAGAGTATTGACTTGGTATTCGTATAATTTAAAACTTTTCAAATAACTCTATTCATCATAAATAAATAATATTCCATACATAACTGTAGGAAATACGAAGTGTTTAATAATATGCGGAAGCGACTTTTACACATTTCTCATAACAAACATAATTATTTATTTTGTCAATAAATCCACCACGACTGTCTCACTCCTTCTGCTTCCAGGAATATGCCAATCATTCATTATATCTACCTGCGTGTAGCAAATAAAACACACTACACGCTCAGCGGTGAAGCTGAGTAAGCATATCTAAAGCGTCGAACATCCAAATAAATTGAATCTCAATTCATAATCAACCATTTGATATCATGTACACAATATATGATTCAAACATTCATGTTATTCTCAATATTTTATTCCAAGTCATTTCATGATAAATACATTATCCAATATCTCAACAGTGCTCTTAAATTATTCTTAATCTGAGGCCAAATCATTTAATAACAAGCTCTTAGCTATTCCTAGTCTAAGGCAATAATTCTAACCAGGCCCTTAAACTATAAATAGTTTAATGCAGAACACAAGAATCGATAATCCACCCTAAGAGTCATGTGGATTACGTACCAACCGAACAGTGATTTGTCGGGTGGGTGATTGTTGGAGACTTGTCGTGTGGTCCAAAACAAATTAAAAAATTATAAATAACCTTAACTAACCCCCAAAATATAATCAAATAAAAATTATAGCTAGGGCAAGTAAGGGTCGATCCCACAGAGAAAGATTGTACTTTTTAAAACCAGTTTAGCATGCAAACACATTGTCACGAATATAAAACAAATAAAAGCAAACTAACTACTACACATATGACAAGACTTATAAAACTTATAATAAAACTTATAACTAAATAAATATAAAAACTTATAACTATAACTTAGTACTTATAATATAACTTAGTAAAAAACTTATATTATAACTAAAACAATGTAACAAGGGGGGGTAAATATATTTTTGGTTTTTTTATTTTCTTATTTTTTTGGTTTTTTTGATAAAATGGGGAAAACAAGCTCAAAAGATAATCAACTTCTCCAACTAAGGTAACCCAAGAAACACCGCCAAGAACCGGTAACAAAATGAAAAAAGAGAACAAACACAAGCCGAAAATTACACGTATAATAGGCACGTAGACAATATATTACGTAACTTACGCACTTAAGAATAGAAAAAATCAATCAAAGACCGAGTCAATTCATTTCCTTAACCACGATATGGAGGATTGTCAACTCTTCACACGGCCCGAAGTCATGCAATTCAAAGGCCCGTTTTGAAATATACCTTAGAACCCCAACTCTCTATTCAAACATGAGAACGTACTTCCACTATAGAAAAAGTTTATAAAAAAGAGAATCTATTATGCATTCAACTCTCATACATAATCTATTCACAAACCGCCAATACCTTATGTATTTTAATAAACTTTTTCTCTTAATGATGAGCATATTTCACAGATTTCTCAAACCAATGACGTTTTTTCTATTCACATAGATGAACACAACATATTTTCAATAAATCAAGAATTGTTTTTGAGCTTAAACAACTTCAAATTAATGAAAATAACAAACAAACACACGAAAACATAATAATCACTCAATAACGAATTCTAAGGATAATGAATCAACTTATGGGGCTAAGAAGTCCAAAATGCTTAAAATCAACAAACACAAATCACAAAAAAGATTCACGTATGAATTCGGAGTTCATTTAACTACCTTATGGAGCTAAAATAGCTTCAACAAAAACCGAACTCCACATATCAACCTACTTATGAAATCAAATTATACAATTCAACCAATTCAACAACAACTTGCTCAATAATTGAAGAAAACTAGTTTAAATCAATTCTCATTCATAAGGGATTTAATATAAACATAAAAAAACCTAAAAGAAGAACACCAACCATTTTTGGAATTTTTGAAACAAACACAACAAGCAAAAAAATGTAAAATTGAATAAAAAATAAACTTTTACATAAAATTGGAGAAGAAAAGATAAAATTGACAAATAAGAGTTACCAATTGTTGAAGAAGATGAACAAATTGAGTAAAGTGGAGCTGTGATGGAACAGCCTAACCTCTGCCCGGAGCTACTGCCGACCGCTCGCCGGAGATGATGCCGCCGCCGGTTCGTGTCTGCCGGCCGTCCACCATAGCAGCGGCCAAGCCGCTGCTTTATTCTTGTGTGTTTCCCCCCCTTTTTCGATTACAATTCCTCTCCCATTTATAGCAAGAGGATTCTTCCCGTTGGCATTCTTTCGTTGGAGAATTGAGTGAAGAGCGTAGAAGAAGGAGAGACGTTGGAGCGTGTATATCCGTTCTTGCGTTCGAAGAGGAAGTCGCAGATCCCAATCTTTTCTTCACGCGTTGAATGAAATCAGGAGAGAAGATGTTGGGCTGGGTTTTGTTGTTGATGGGTTCGGCCCAAATTCAATCTTTTTTTCAAACTTGATCTTCAATTTGGCCTTTTGCTACACTTTTCTCCAAAAATAAGATATCTGATAACTTGGGTTAGGAAAAATAAAATAAAAATAATAGAATGTAAAAAAGTGATTAAAAAGCTACTATTTATGAAAGAAAATAAAAAGAATGTAAACATGAAAATTAAAATAAAACTTAGCTAAACTACTAAAAATTAAACTCTAAAATTATTAAAAATACCTTAAAAAGAATAAAAAGAACCATACCAAACCCGACTTATTAGTGATATCCGTTCTGGATCCCGTACGTACGTTTTAACCCAAAATATGAATTGGTCCCGTAGGTATATCTTAGAGTTCTTCTAGATATCCTTAATAATCATCATCAATATACAAGTGTGTATATATTAGAGTTCTTCTAGATATTCTTAACAATATACACTGTTTTCATAATTATCATTCATAATTATCCATAATAATTATTCATCATAACGATCATTCAACATAACATTTAATAGCAAACAGCGGCCTAGTCTCGGGTGTTAACACCAGAACTTACCGTCATGCATCACATAATGTTTTATATGCCAAAACATCATTTATTATACAAAATCATATTTAAATGGTTCATAATTAATTGGTATTTTCAGAGAATATTTCCAGGAATATTTTCGGAACACTGGAATTGAGGAAAAATCGATTTATTCAATAAATTACTACAAAAATCAATTTTTAAATATATATTAATCTATTAAATATACAAAAATCGGTTTTACAACATATGTTAATCTATTAAATACACAAAAATCGATTTTTCAAAATATATTAATCGATTAAATGGGAAAATCGATTTTATAATATATTTTAATCGATTAAATACCAAAATCGATTTTCTACCTTAATATAATCGGTTATTATTATTTTATTTTGATACGCATTATCTGAACAAGTTATAATCGATTCTTATCTAAGAAATAATCGGTTTCCAGTCACTGTTCATCATCTTCTTCCTCTGGTCTATTTTCGAAATTATCATTTTTAAACACCAAACTTTAATTTAATTATATAGAAATGTTCTCCAATGTTCAAAAATCATTTTAAACTCATTAATTCGTAGTTTTAACACTAAATTTAAGATTTATGATTCCTAGTTATTCAAACATGTCAAACACAAAAGTCAACCAAATGACCATTATATTTATGAACGTAGAAACGACCTAAATGAACATTCTAGTCATTAGATATATCTACGGGCTTACCTCGAAGCTTAATGGAGGTTTTGAAGATTTTCCGGCGAAACTTCCGCGACTATATCTCCCAACTCCGGCGACCTCTCACCAATATGGCAGCACCACCGCGTTCTCCTCACTCCCAGCAACAGAATAGATAGAAAGATTGTGAGAAATGGTGAAGAATTGAAGGAATGGAGGTGGTCTTTATATAGGAAAATGGTGAAGGATGCTGCCAAGGGTGATGTCTGGTTTCCTGTTCGGGCGGCTAATGGAGAGGATGGCCGATTCTTTCGATTCCAAACGCATGTCCCTGATTGGGAACAGCTTTGGTTCTAGTCGGGGTACACTTTTTAGTCCAACTTTCTCCAAATTGAATTCTGTTTGCACCGTTGCGATCGGACAGTTAAACTCTATCCAACGATATAATTTTTATATTTATTTGTAACACTTTTTCCGACATCATATTTTTAAGTGTTTGACTTTGACAGAGTCAAAATTTGTTTATTTAACCTTTCTCATAAAAGGTTCTCTCATTTAATTCATATCAGTTATTGTCATGATTTATTTTAAGAAATCATTTCAGTATTTACATTCTAAACAAATTCTTTATTTTTTACTCTTGATTTGGGTCTGTACTCAGGTTCCCAATCAAGACCACACAAATAGTCCACATACTGGATTTATCTCTATGAGACTTATCCAGATTTTGATATTGGATGTCAAAACACATTTCATATCGGCCCAAAGCCCAACAATAATTTATTTTAATTAAAAAAAATTTGATTAATTGAATATTTATTGAATATTTATTGAATAATTAGTGCAAAAAAATTGATTAATTGAATATTTATTCATTAATAATTCTAGGGTATGTTTTGGAGCATTACATTTCTTCCCCCCTTAAAGGAATTTCGTCCTCAAAATTCTTCTAAGGCCAAACCTTCAACATTTTGTAGTGATCTCACTTAATCATGACCATGTCATGTTTATTCAGTTAAACAATAATTACGTCATTATCCACACAGATACGTTTTCTCAAACTGTCGATGTTATCAAACTTGTTCTTTCTTCAAGAGATTAATAATCTTTGATTACACCAGGCACTCAGTTATCTTTCAATATCAACAACTAAGATTCCTTCGCGGTATACAGGGTTGTATACTTGACATACTTGTACAAAACTTCGTTCATTCTTAATTTCCAATTGTACAACATCGATTAACGATATTCTCCTTTTGATTGAAAGTCCTTTAGTAGCATTTGTAGTTTCAAGTTCGGGATATATGTAGTGGAGTATTTAGAGGTTATATAATTCATACGTCACAGCGTAACTTTCTCAAGTTACTTAAGTCATCTTCATGTCGTTCACATAGTTCAACAATGATTTGTAAGTACATCAATGGCTTTTAGTGGTCCAAGATTTTCATGATATGGAATTCTTCATTATTTACGAGGAAGTATTGTCGATTGGTAGTACAGTAGTTTTCCGTTATCAATCTCTTGTCGAAATAATTCTTCGTTCATCTTCAGTAGTTCTCATTATCGTTAATGAATCTATGTACCAATTCTTTTTAAAAAATTTTAAAAATTCGTAGTAGTACTCTCTCCATATTTATTTCTTCTAATTCTTTTTAAAAAAATTTCTCTTTCTTTTATTTGTGCAGTCTCTGCACCCTTTTCCCAAGCATTTTTACTTTTTCAAAATTTTTCCTTCCACCGCCGCCTCCTTTCCCTCCACTTTCTTTTTGTTCTTGTTTTTGCTTTTTGGAGAGATGTTGGTTCCAAGATCTCAAATATCCACTTTGGATATTAAAGATCTATCAAACGCACCGCCATCTGTACTACCAAGCAAAATCTGCTGGGAGTGAAAGCGGCAAATGGCAGAAAATATCACAAATCTCAGACTAGACTTGGTTTAGGAATTATTGTAATTTGAATTGTATTTGTTTAAGAGTTTTTGTTAACAAGCTGTATATTATGAGAAACTAAAAGAAAGTTATAAAATTAGTTCTCAGTACAGCGATCGGAACTCTTGAATACTTGTTTGTCATCATCAAAAAGGGGGAAATTGTTGGAAAAATATTATAGGCCTCCCCCAATATTCAATGTAATTTTTATTTTTAGAAATATTGTTAAAACCGAGTTCTTGAGATTTCCAATAAAGTTGTGATATTTAAGTGGTTTGATGCTTGAAGACTTAATCAAATTCTGTGATATGAAAATTGGATATCTTGATCGGAAATGTCAGAGACAAGTAAGGATTTCTCAAAGCAGATGAAGATCCTCTAATCCGGAACACTACATGACAACCGGATGTCTCGCTATAACCCGCTGAAGGCTAAGTCATTCAAATCGGAAGACTAGCGCGGATCACTTTCTCACCCGGAAGTCTGTGTATGACTCTTTCGGATTTGTCACGGAAAGAACCGGATGCCTCAAGAAAAGATCGGAACTCTTAGAAGCGGACAAGTGAGAAAAGACTTAGAAAAATTCTAAGTCTTGAATGAAGAAATTCTACCCGTTGGTAAGGAAAAATCAATCTCTTGATTTTCAACGGCTAGATTGAAAATAATTAAGCTGATTCAAGAACAAATGACTTGAAGAAAAAGTCTGGACCCCTCAACTTAAAGAGCTCATCCAGAATTCCCAAACAAGCACTAGAAGAGAAACTGAGTAAAGTGCTACAGTGCAGAATTCTTGAACAACAGCTAGAAGACGGATTCTGTGGAAAAAGGAATCCCTCCTCAAACAATTGGGTATGTCCAAACACCCACTCCAATGAGGAATCCTCAATCACAATCTTAATTCAAAATTGAAGCCAGCAAATGCAACGGATAGTCTATTTTGATTCAACGGATAGATTATCCAATCCAGCTATAAATAGCAACCTTGGAAGACTGGAGAAGATATGATGAGATAGACAAACACAACGAAGCAATCTCTAACAACACAGCTATCTCATTCACAGTTAGCCCAAAAAGCTTGATAAAGAGAGATTTCTAAAACTCATTATCCAGAAGCAAACTTCTCCTCCTTCCAAAGAGCTATAGTGTAAACACTTGAAGGTCCTATTGTTCGGATCTTGCAGTTGTTGAAGAAGCGTGACCTTCGAAGGAACAACAAAGCCAGCACGAGTGCAGTAGCAACATTGGCATTGCGAAGATATACCGTGCAGAATTCACACAAGTGTAATTGTTGGTTCATTATTCAACAACAAACTACATAGTAGATTTTGAGGACGTAGAAGGATTACCCCACCTTCGAACCTCATTAAAGTTTGCGTGTCTCTTTCTTTTATCTTTACTCTTACTTGTAATTATATTAACTGTGAAAACAAACCCATCCATATTGATTACTGCTCATACTACCCACCAAATTCCGCACACAATCTAAAGTTCCCATGAACTCTAGATTTACACTATTTTCACGTTTTCAAAAGAAACGAAAAAGTTTTAAATTTGTAACAAAGTCTATTCACCCCCCCTCTAGACTTTGTATCTCACCACTTTGGGACCACCAGCTCCGGTCATCCACCAACGTCATGCCTCACTGTCCTCCAGACTGCTCCTCGTCTAATCCTTGATCTCTACCTATAAAAATAGGGAGAGTGGAAGTATCTAACGCTAAAACCAACTCATAGACTAGCCCCCACTAATATATAATCAAACAATATCAGAAGAATTAGCAAATATCGTTATCCAACAGTACCACTAATTACCCTTTTAATTTAGTTTAGTTCTTATGCATACTTATGCCTCACTGTCCTCCAGGCTGCTCCTCGTCTAATCCTTGATCTCTACCTATAAAAATAGGGAGAGTGGAAGTATCTAACGCTAAAACCAACTCATAGACTAGCACCCACTAATATATAATCAAACAATATCAGAAGAATTAGCAAATATCGTTATCCAACAGTACCACTAATTACCCTTTTAATTTAGTTTAGTTCTTATGCATACTTATTCCAGGCTCTCACCCAAACCCACACTCATAACTCCAAAGCTCTCGCAATGGAGGGGGTTGAGGCCCCCGCTGGCTCTCGCCAGGGGTCAATGACCACCGTGCGCACGTTTTTAACCCTCGAGATCACCGGATGGACGACGTCACCCGCATGACCTTATTCTCTAGTTACTCTCGATAAACAACACCTGATTTTCTTCACGTATTACATTTGTTCATAGACTTAGGTTGATGTTCAATGTTTAAATTTTAAGGTCAAAGTATGAAGAAGGCCAAATAGAAAACAATTTAAAGATTTGGGCCAACTTGCAAATAACAAAACTATATTTTTGTTCCTTTATTTTGTTCGTAAGCAGAAGAACAAGAACAGGTCTTACTGCTCCAGCGACGGAACAGAGAAGCAATCCGGCGGCATCAATCAGCATCCCAGCAACTTCACGGTTTCCTCACGGCGGCCAGGCAGCAACTAGATGACCTGAACACAGCGGCGGCGACAAGGTCCAGCGGCCCAGCAGAATTCTTCAGTCCGTGTGTGTCATCGCCCGAGTACGGTGGACAGCAGCATCTCCGCCGCCGAACTGCGACACTGCAACAACGACAGCAGCACCCCTCTACGTCTAATGGCGGTAGCAGGTGGCGGCGGCTGACAGCAAAACTCCACGGCAGCAGAATGCAAAGACGAATGGACCAGCGTACTAGCACGAGGCTAAAGAATCGTTGTACACAGTAGATTTGGGCGAAACACAGAAAGAACAGAACAGAGACTGAACGGAAAAACGAGAGGAGGAACAATCCAATCCCAATTTCCCAAAAACCAATGCTAATTTCGAATCCAAACACAATTAATCACACAATCCGATAACCATAATCACAAATTCATCGTCAATTGAACGAGAATATATCAACAAATCCTAATCTACGAATCAATTTTAACCAGAGATACCACCACTCACCTCGATTGACGAAGATATAACTTTCCGGTGAAGATTCCCGGCGAAGCTTTCTCGACGATGCCTAGCGAAGCTTTCCGGCGATTGACCCTGGTTGCGTGCGAAACGAAGAAGACAGATGGCGATGGAGATTGGATGGACTCCGTACATTAAATACCTTCAAGTGGCCCTCTTTTTCTTCAGGTTTGGAAAACGATCACACGCCAATTCTTTATTACTAATATTTATTCTAATATCATATTGCAACATTTTTTTAACTTATTATTAAAATGTATTATCTATTTTACTCACCACGCTTTACATATATGTCCAAACTTAACAAATTATACACCGTTAGTCACCATTTTACGAAATCTACCCGAAAACCTAACTTTTAGTTAAAATGGTCAACTTACAAATTGTTGGAAAAAAAAATATCATAGATTTTGATGATGATGTATTTAGAATGTAATAGGGACTTTAGATCTCCCCAGATATTCAATTTAATTTTTAGAAATATTGTTAAAACCAAGTTCTTGAGATTTCCAATTAAGTTGTGATATTTCCTTAAATGGTTTGATGCCTGAAGACTTAATCAAATTCAAAAAATTTTGGAAATTGGATATCTTGATCGGAAATATCAGAGACAAGTAAGGATTTCTCAAAGCAAACAAAAATCCTCCTATCTGAATATTATATGAGAAACGGATGTCTCATTACAACCCGCTGAAGGCTAAGTCAAAAGACTAGCGCGGATTTCCTTCTCACCAGGAAGACTGAGTATGACTCTTCTAGATTTGTCAGCTAAGAACCGGATGCCTTAGGGAAGACCGGAATTCTCAAAAAGCGGACAAGTGAGAAAAGACTTAGAAAATTATCTATGTCTTGAATGAAGAAATTCTACCCGTTGGTAAGGAAAAATCAATCTCTTGATTTTCAACAGCTAGATTGAAGATAATTATGCTGATTCAAGAACAAATGACTCGAAGACAAAGTTTGGACCTCTAAGAATTGAAGAACCTGTCCAGAATTCCTAAACAAGCACTAGAAGACAAACAGAGTAAAGTTCTACCGTCCAGAATACTTGAACAACAGCTAGAAGACGGACTCTATGGAAAAAGGAATCTCTCCTTTAACAATTGGGTATGTCCAAACACCCATTCCAATGAGGAATCTTCAAATCCCAATCTTCATTCAAAATTGAAGCCAGCAAATGCAACGGATAGTCTATTTTGATTCAACGGATAGATTATCCAATCCAGCTATAAATAGCATCCTTGGAAGACTAGGGAAATGGAGATACAATAACTCATCAACAATAAGAAGAACAACCACAAAGAGGCTACCTCATTCACAGTTAGCCCAAAAAGCTTGATAAAGAGAGATTTCTAAACTCCTTATCCAGAAGCAAACTTCTCCTCCTTCCAAAAAGCTATAGTGTAAATACTTGAAGGGTTCCTTGCCTCAAGTACCACACCACGTTGAAGGATACAACTTTTGATCAAACTTATTGATTGAAAGGGGGTAGGTCAACTTTCTTACAAGTTGGT